GAACTGAACTAGAACTGAACTAGAACTGAACTAGAACTGAACTAGAACTGAACTAGAACTGAACTAGAACTGAACTAGAACTGAACTAAACTGAACTAGAACTGAACTAGAACTGAACTAGAACTGAACTAGAACCGAACTAGAACTGAACTAGAACTGAACTAGAACTGAACTAGAACTGAACCAGAACTGAACTAGAACTGAACTAGAACTGAACTAGAACTGAACTAGAACTGAACTAGAACTGAACTAGAACTGAACTAGAACTGAACTAGAACTGAACTAGAACTGAACTAGAACTGAACTAGAACTGAACTAGAACTGAACTAGAACTGAACTAGAACTGAACTAGAACTGAACTAGAACTGAACTAGAACTGAACTAGAACTGAACTAGAACTGAACTAGAACTGAACTAGAACTGAACTAGAACTGAACTAGAACTGAACTAGAACTGAACTAGAACTGAACTAGAACTGAACTAGAACTGAACTAGAACTGAACTAGAACTGAACTAGAACTGAACTATAACTGAACTAGAACTGAACTAGAACTGAACTAGAACTGAACTATAACTGAACTAAACTGAACTAACTGAACTAGAACTGAACTAGAACTGAACTAGAACTGAACTACTGAACTACTGAACTAGAACTGAACTAGAACTGAACTAGAACTGAACTAGAACTGAACTAGAACTGAACTAGAACTGAACTAGAACTGAACTAGAACTGAACTGAACTAGAACTGAACTGAACTGAACTGAACTAGAACTGAACTAGAACTGAACTAGAACTGAACTAGAAGTGAACTAGAACTGAGTTATAACCTAACTTCTATGTTTACAGAACAAAGTTGCAGTGTTTAGTCCTATGTATTTTAACAATTAGCACTAAAATACATCTTTAGCAATAGAATATTCCAAGCATTCCATTTATGTCTGAAAATCTTCTTCGTACACCATTTATTTTGCACATCATTTTCGTACTCGTAGTAGCCCTATAGAAGAGTTAGCTGTAAGTGAAGTATGCGATTGTATGGGTGATGTATTTTTTTCTTTGACGTGTGTTTGTATGTTATAGATTAATTTTTTCCTCGTTTTTGTTGTTGTTGTTTTTATGCTTCTCCTCAGCATTTTATGCATTTACACCAGTAGGTTCGAGCTGGTGTTTGTCAGCCTGCTGCACAGTTTGCTGGCGTGCATTGCATACTTTGGTTGGGTTTTTTGGTTTGTGCGGAAAGTATTAACAATTCGTGTTTCAAGTTGTTCTTCTTGTTTGCTGTGTGTATTGCATTTTTTCTTTTTATGTTTGCTTCTTGCTAAATAAACGTGCTAAAAGTCTCGAAATACAAAAAAAAAAAAAAACGAAAACGTAAACGGAAAAAAAGCCCGGTTTAAATCCAAAAATACGAACGTCCAAAAAAGTAAAAAAAAATAAGTAGAAATAAGAATAGAAGGACTGTTATTTTTTTGTTATAGTGTGTACACGTAGCCTCAGAAAGGATAACAAGCGTATAACGGGCCGTGTAGTCGTGCAACCAGGTTAGCCAACTAGCCAGCCTGCCTTACCCTCACCGTAGCGTACCGTGCCGTGACGTGCCTTAACTTTAACCTGGCAGTTAGTTGGACTATGCAATCAAGTTCTAACTTGTCTTTGGAAAGAGTTTTGCATTATTTGTGGAGTCAGTCGTCGTGTGATTGCAGGTGAAACGGTTCGTTTGTTTGCCCACTTGTGGCCTAACATTTGTGCTCCAATTTCATTTTGTGCCGTTTTATTTTATTTCAATTTTTTGTTCGTTGTTTGTTTTTACTCGTTGTTGATTTAAATGTGTTTGTGTGTGTGTTTATGGATTGATAAGTAAAATTGTGCTGAATTTGTGTTCAAACATTAAGGGGCCGTTTAGTTTTGAAAAAAATTCTATTTAATTTTTTTGTTCGATTGTTCAGTGTTAAACTCTTGTCACTCCCCCTTTAATATTATTTAAACGCATAAGAAGAGTGGCAAGATGGGAAAAAATAGAAGTGTAACAAATCAAACATTCAAATCTAACGTAAACTAGTATTTGGCGCATCGAATGTATACATCCGTTTCCGTTTGACACCTGAACTAAAAGTGTTTGGCGGTTTTGCCTCGAAATGTTGAAATATCCATCAATTGTGCTGCTAATAATGACATGTATGTGGTTCGATTCGTCGTTTTGCAATATACATATACGAACCATTTAGTTTTTGCGACTGGTTTCTATAGTGGTGGCAGTGGTATGCATACAGTTTTTCAAAATAAAGAGGATTAATACGCATAATGATTTTTGGCGCACTTTTTTGCCGGCTTTTCTAATGATGAGTTTGTTGTTTTTACCAAAACGCATCGGTTTAATTTCATTTAAGTAACCTAATAATAGTTGCGTGCCTTAGTTGCCATTGCTATAAATTTATACTTCTACCTTTTCTCATTCCCTTATACATTGTGCCTTCTGCTCTCTCCGCTCGATTGGTTTTTTTTTTCCTAACTTCAAATGAGTTATAATCCTTTTGGTATTATTTTTACTAAAATAGTACTTGAAAGTTTATATTAGTTAGAATTTGTTTTTCCTGGATATTTGTTCAGGGAGCTTGAGTTTATGAGCATGTTTAATGTGTTAAACAAACTGTAAAAAACAACATCAGCAGCAACAACATCAATAACAAAATATATACAAACATCTACTAAAACAACAATCGCCTATATTTGTAACTAATAAACTATGTATGATGATTTCAAAATTCATACATACATACATATGTACCTTAATAAAACCCTACATACGTGGGTAAAATGTGAAGGTGTTAAAAATAAACCAATCATGATTAATTTGTACAATTAGTTATTTTTTATTACCCAGATTTAAGTAACATACGGTTGTGTTTTGTATATATAGAAATCAACGTGTTCATTCCAAATCGGTTTTTGTTAATGGTACCCAACGCTGTTCGGGCTTATTGTTGGGAATTCGGCTGCTGTATCCGAAAGTATATGGATATTCCATTTCATCCCACGTTTGCGTTATGAACCTCACCACAAACGAACAATACCCTCCTTTCTATAGTGGTATAGGGTATAAAAAACTCATCTTAAACGGAATGCGATCGACATATTTTTTCATAAAAACATTCAGCCACTTTAACTTTGCCCACCTGATTGTCATCACAATCTTTAGCTTCAATATTTTGGGAAATTCCAATATATCTATTTAAGAACGAAAACGTACCAAAAACATACCAAATACTTTATTGTTATCGATACTATTGAAAAAACAAAAAGTACCAAAAAGTTCCCTATTATACATATGTATATTCTCATCCAATCAGAAGCCGAATTACCTCAGATGTGATCAGATAAGATTTCGTGTCGAAAACATATTTCGATATCAAAATGTGTTACATTTCTTGTTCATTTCAAAGACATAATTATGATTAATTTTACTCTATTTTATTCCCAAAATTTTATTCAGAAAATTTTATTACCTCAGATGTGATCAGATAAGATTTCGTGTCGAAAACATATTTCGATATCAAAATGTATTACATTTCTTGTTCATTTCAAAGACAAAATTATGATTAATTTTACTCTATTTTCTCCCAAAATTTTATTCAGAAAATTGTGGTGTCAAGAAAAAATGCTTTACGAAAAAGTACCAAAAGTCGAATTTCTAAAAAGTACCAAATTTTTGTTTGTATTTTTTAAGGTTTAAAATATAGAATTTACCAGTTTTTATTATTAAACGAATTGTAAAAATCCTGTTTTAGTAAATTCATTTAGCGGGAGACCAACCTGCGATCTTAGCTTGTTACGTTTTGATCTATGTAGATTAACAAATATTGAGAAGAATAAGCAATTTTAAGAAGCGTTTAATTAAAATTGCTTAATTATGCTGGATTTGTGAGACTAGTAGTTCCGTACGTTATATAAAATGGGCCAAAATTCTAATCGAAAGAATTCGGATTTAAATTTGAATATTTGTTTACATTTTGTTTGATTGATTTGAAGGATAATTTGTTTGGGACTTAAGAAAAGTACAATGGGTTAATGAAATAATTTCTGATGTTGATCGAGATATCAGAGAATATTCAGATTCTGATTTTTACTTGAGTTTTCGTTTCAGTGCCTCCTACAGTATGTTCTTTGCTGCTTCTGGAGTAAAATAATTTGGCTTTAAACGCAGCCGGAATTCGCACTTTTTATAGATCAGTGGCTATAGCAATTTTTAAATAGTATTTTAAATGTATTGCAATGCCTTCTACTGAAAATTCATCGCTATACATGATTTCTTCAATTTCCGATGTTATAAAGTTTAACATTTGTTAGCAACTAAACATTTCCTTCCGGTTGTTATAACAATAACAACAACTACATACAAATTTACTTATCAATTAACCCACATTGCACTAAAATATTTAATAAAACAAAAACGAATCAAAAACAAATATAAACACACTAATAATAACAGCATGTGTAAAGGCACAAACACACATACATACAAACATAGCAGACCATTTAACCTTTGCACTACCAGAATGCATCCAGGTGGGATGTTAAATTTTCAATCTTTGAGAACTTCGTGAGTTTATGTAGGAAAATGTGTTAAATCTGTAAGTTATCGGAATACTAGATTGGATAATCAGACGAGACATTAACTAAGAAAGTAAATCAGTTTTACTTATAAATATACTTGGCACCAATATTTGTGGGACCCTTTATCGATGTAATGCATAAAAAATGTATTAAATTTGGAAACTAAGTACATGGTTGAGTTCTGTAATATAATAAGGACTGGTAATGCATAGGTTAAAACATGTATTCATACATACAAGGCACTACACATACATACATACATTTGCATATTCTATCTCTTTCTAATTCACTTGTTTCGATGTTTTTACAAATCGCATTAGTTGTAATTAATACTGCATGTTGTTTGTTTGCTGTTTGTTGTTCTTCTCATTTGTTATTAGAGTGTTTCAATAATTTATACAATAATTTACGCATGCCATCGCATACTATAACGGATTACGACCGAAAGGATTGTTGTCTACCAAACGGATTAAAACACAAATTACCATTTTATACAACCGGGTATGTATTCTCTCATTCTCTATATATCTGTATGTATGTATTGTATATACTATATGTTAATGTGTATGATTGTATACAAAATGAATATTTTACCCGTTTGGGGGGTCCTTGCTGCTGTTTATGGTTGCCGGAGTGAGAGTGTGTGTTTTTATAACTGTATTGATGTTTATTTTATAGAAAGTTATGTTTGTTGTTATTTGCAGACATGTGTTTTTAACTCATTTTTATTGTTTGTTGTTGTTGTTGTAGCAGCTTTACGGTCAATATTTTTTTTAATTTAGGTTTGAGTAATTGTATTTTTGTTTCGGAGATTTTGTTGTAATTTTTAAACATTTATAACGACATTGTAAGTTGCTCATGTACAACATACATAAGTATAAACTCATTTATTATCTATAGTATTTATTTTTATTGTTACTGCATTTTTTTACATATATTGACCTCCAACTTAGTTTCAAATATTTTTTTTTTTTTTTATTTAAAATTGATTGATTTGTTGCTATTTTTGAAATATTTTTACATAGATATTTGTTTTAAAAATATACTTTATTTATTTAATAGAGATTTTTAGAGTTAAAATAAATATTTATACATACACTATTAAATGGAAAATTATTTGTTGAGTTAATTTAAAATGTAACATTTTTTTAATTAAACAAAACTTTCTCACGGTTATTAAAAATATTATTATTTATATTTGTATTTATGGCAAAAGTTAATTTAAATTTATAAATTTTAAAGCTAAATAATTTCTCTACACAGAGGGAAAAAGAAATATACACGCCTGGTACCAAATTGACACCGAACTGTTTATAATTTTTCAATACCATCCGTTGTCAAAGTATATACATACGTACGACAACACTATGTAATGTTGACAACGTTGCCAACATTGCAACAATTGTCGGTAAATAAGAAAAGTGTCCTGAGGAACAGTCTTTTCTAAAAACCTCATGTAGGAATATCACTTAATCGATGCCTATTAATCTAGTAAACACTGGAAAAATAAAAGTATTTTTTGGAATGGTCCTCGGTTCCCTACTAGAGTTAGAAAATACTTAACTCAGTATATTACTAATAATACTCTTCTCATTATAGTGTTGTAAGCATAGTTTACAGATTTGAAATTATACATTAATGTTTGTTTGTCACTATCCAAATTTTGTATGGGAGGTATATGAAAATGTGGACCGATTCCGCCGATTTTTAACAGGAATCAAGCTTTCATATGGAAACAATTGTGTGCTGATTTTTATGAATTTATATCGCATAGTTTTTGTGAAAATTGTATTAGAATGTGTTAAAAAATCTTATTTTTTTTTGGAGTTTTTTAAATTTTGATTCATAACTCTTTCCGATGTAAACCGACTTTGCTTATTTTCAGTACCAAACTGCTTAAGACGATAGTGAATCTTTTCACCGAATTTCATTAATTTATTTAGCATCGTTTTTACCTGAGCGTGTTTTACGCAGACAGACAGACGGACGGACGGACATATCTAAATCGACTTAGAATTTGATAAGGACCCGGAATTAATATATATATATTGTTGGATGTCAAAATTGTCCATAAAAAATTTGAGGACTCTAGTTGTACCATGTTCCGAAATATTCGAATTTTAAAGGAGTGGGCGTGGCACCCCTCCCACTTGCAATTTCAAAATAAAAAGTAGCCTATAGTTCCTTCCAGATATATACACTGAAATTTTCAAGAAGATCGCTTCAGTGGTTTAGCCTCCTATAAGGTACAAAAAAACAAACAATCAAACAAACAAATAAACATGCATTGATTTTTATATATATAGATAGATAAATGACCATACCAATTCTTATAATGATCGGTCGTCGTTTGTTGACGATCGGCCTATATATTTTCTTACTAGTTTACTATGAAATCAAATATTAACGCCACCGTTTATTTAAGTTATTTATACTAAAAGACCTTTCTATTTTATAGATTTTGAGAGATTTTTGTGTCTTTTTAAAAGACGACTTAGTATAGAATATTATTTTCGTCTGAAATTTAATATATGTACAAGAACAATTGCTTTTTGCAATACCAATGGGAAACTTTACTTATTTCGTAGAGAAAAAATATCATAAATTGTTTTGCATTGTTGACTTGCCACAGTTTAAACACTCATATCACAAATATGTCAGTGTTTTTTTTTGCATTTCCTTCTTTTATTTCAATTGCACAAGCAGAAACATAATTTTAAAAAGTGGTGCCAACTTTTATGCAATTTGTTTTTATCAAATGTCTTTTAACTCTGTCATTTAAAAATGAAATGGCCTTAAAAATCCACAAGAGCGTGAGAAAAAATAATTTCGAGTTAAAAGTGTAGTGCATAAGTAGAAATGCGTAGGCAACATGCTTACTTAAGCACACTCATACAAACATATCTTTTCACTTTATTAAAAAAAAGCTAAAAAAATATTATGAACATTTCTTATGACAAATTAACAATGCATCTGTTTTCTTTCTATGTACTTCTAATGCTTTTTGCTTTTTATAAAGAAAATATAAAATCATACTAATTTCTTCATTAACATTAAAAAACTTTTTAACTTTTGCAATAGCAACAACATCAAAAAGCTTTTTGCCGCAATGGCTTTTCGAGCTAAAAAAAATAAAACGAAACAAATTATTAAATAATAAATTAAATTATTTCTTTAATTAAAAACTCTATTAATTTTAATGCAACTTTTAAGTACAAAAAAACAAACTTTAATGTAAATGACATTCAATGAGCGACTGACATACAGACAGACACCTAAGCAACCTTGGCCAAAAATAATTATGTGTGTATAATATTGTATGTCTGTTTTAGTGTGCGTAAGTCTGTAAGGAGCAAATATGTCTGCGGATAAATGTCTCAACAAGTACAAGAACTTTGTACTTGTTTAATGTTGTTGCTTTTGTTATTTCCATTTGTAACGGTAATGACGTTACAAAAGCAACTGACGACAATGATGTCGACATTGGAAATGCGTGCCGACGGCAAATCGTCATCATAATAATAACAACGACTTGTAATAGTACGACTTGTTGTCGTAATCGTCGTAGAGTCATAGAGTCTGTTTTGGTTAACAAATACAAATAAAACTATATACCACTATACTACCACATTAACAGGTTCGTAGACATATAAACAAAACTAGATATTGTTTTCTTTGCTGAAGGTCTGATTGACTGGGTGAATGTCTGCTGCTTCCAAAGAAGAAGAAAGTTTAAAAATCAACTGAAATTAAAGTAGTATTTTGAGCTCTTTATTAGAGAAATGATACAAATTATAGAGCTTTTCAAGAAACAAATATTTGCTTTTGTAAACACGTTCCAGTGAAAAAGCTTTTTAATTACCAATAAAGCTTTTTTAATTAAAAAAGCTCCTTTTTAAGTTGACTAAAATAAAAAATGTTTTTTCGAAAAAAGCTTTGTTTCTTAGAAAGCTTTTTTGAAAAAAGCTTTTTTTAACTTAATAAAGTTGTTTAAGTTTATTATTAACCAAACAAAACTGCTTATTTTTGGAAAATTTTCTATCGGAAAGCTTTTATATTAAAAGCTAAAATTTTAAAGAGCTTTTCCATCAAAATCTCAAATCAAATTAATTATTATAAAAATAAACAACATTTTTTATATACTTTTAATTTATATGCAATTGGTGTAGCGTATCATATCAGGTCGGCCATGAATTTTGTATGTTTTGCAAGAAAAGCTTTTTAATAGAAAATATTTTTTACAAAAAAAGTTTTTTTTTAATAGAAATGCATCTTCACAGAAAAGCTTATTAACTTAACTTTTTAAATTTATAAATAAATTTTAAAATATTGAGAGAAAAAAAGAAAAACCAAAACATTTTCATTTGTCTATGAAACAAATAGCAAAAAAGTACCACATACAAATTCTATCCCCCTAAAGCTCACTCCCATAACTATGTACAATGAATTGTGTATCAGTGCTTTTAGGAGTATAAGCCTCTGGATAAGTGAACGGAGTAATGAAATCCTTTTGGGTCGTATCAGTTGTATTCTAATTCGAAGAATAGAAAAATATATATTTCATATTAGTGTTTGCATTTAAATGTGTTCCTTGATTTAATCCTCAAAAACCTTCAACAAAATTGTTGTAAATGTGTATTGTTTTCACAACAGAGAAAATATTTGCAATGGAATTGTCTAAACGCTGGAGGGGGCGGTTGATGGTAGAACTGCTTGCTGCTTTGTATTATGTGCATATAAAATGCACTTTGTATGGCACTTGTATTAAACAGCCCGTCAGACAGACGGACAATATTCAAGCAGCAGGCAGGCAACAAGCAAAGCAAAACGAGTCAGCAGGAAGGTAATTCACAACATATTCAAATGTATTTGTTTTCTTTTTATGACGATGAGGATGATGACGACAGCAAGAAGAATACAATTCAGAAAGCATTAAGGCTCTACTTACTCACACTTGATCTCTCTGTGTGTGTAACGATATTCTTCATGTTGTTGTGGAATATTATGACGACATAATGCCTGCAAAGCATTCCTTCTGTCTCAGTCACCATGTGCAATTGTAACAGTTGTGTTATTTATGCAAAACTACAGTCAAACGTCAATAATTGCAATTTGCCGGAATGACGAACAACAATCAGAGCGAAGACAAATTGTCGCAGTATAATACTGTGATAAATCAAAATTCGACACATTTGACAGTTGATGGGAAAATTGTTGATTAGCCAGAGATTTATGAGTTGATAGTGAGGAACGCAAGTATTTTATATCTATATGAAATGAATTTTAGGTCATTAAGTGAAAGCTTGCAAATATACCAACAAAAATAGGAAATAATAAAAAAAATCTGTAGACATTTTCTGGATTACTCACTATAAGGAGTAAAATCACTTCCCTCAGTTCTCTTCAGTAAATGTTTCACTGTATCTGAAATGAAAAAAGGATTGCACTTGGTTTCATTGCCGTTTGTGAAATACAACAACGACAGCAGCAGCAACAGCAAC